TCTCAGTGAAGCAGAGGACACAGGATGTGGCGAAGTCCTTGTTTCTTCTCATGAGCAGGCTGAGTTCGTCCATCTTATTGCCCAGTGAGCGTACGTTGGAGAGAAAAATGCCGGGGAGAGCCGTGCGCGCTCCTCTCCTCCTAAGACGCACGAGCAGGCCTCCGCGCTTTCCCCTTTTACGGGCCCACACTTTTTTGGCTAGAACATGAACTAAATCAGCCGCAGATGCCAAGAAAACAGGCAATAGGTCCATGGGAACGGTGGGTCGGATGTTCATAAGTTCCTCACGGGTGTAGGAACAGCCAGATGCGCAGTTAAAAAGTAAAAACAAAAGAAAAAGAGAGCAGCAAAGAGCCATATCGACCGTACGAGGCGCCATCTTTGTTGTTTGTTATTTGCCATTTGCAGAAAAAAACTACATTGGAATACAAACAGGAGACACCGGGGGCACCAACACAACAAAGCACACACACAAACAGAATAAAAATAGCAAGACACAGTGAGGCACATATAAAACTCTTCAAAGCATTATTAAGACGCTACGAACGAGCTACAAAGAGAAGCTCTGTTCAGTCTTAGCCTGAGGAAAGAAGCTATTGGCATGGCGGGAGGTCCTGCACCGCACGGACCGGAATCTTCTCCCCGAGGGAAGAGGCTGGAACAAGGCCGCTCCAGGATGACCAGAGGAGTCATTAACAATCCTCAAGGCTCGGTTTAAGAGTCTGCTCTCATAAAGAGTCTCCAGAACGGGCATCTCACGGTTCACAGTCCTCCGAGCTGAACGAACTACTTTGTTCAGAGCTCTCTTTTCTTTGGCTGTGATGCTGCCGAACCACACGGGGATTGCACCAGCAAGCAGGCTTTCTATGGTGCAGCGGTAAAAGCAAAATCTTAGACTTATTTGTAAATTCTCTAAGTTTCCGCAGAAAGTATAGACATTGGCGAGCTTTCTAAACAGTATGGTTGGTGTTTTTGTCCTATCTCAAATCGTTGGACAAAGTTAGACCAAGAAACTTACACTCCTCAACAATCTCTACCTGGGAGTTGTCAATGACCACAGGTGAGTGGGAGAGAGTGACCACGTCTGAAGTCAAACACCAGTTCACATGTTTTGGACGTGTTCAAGAGGAGGTTGTTGTCTTTACTCCAGTTGACAATATTCTCAACCTCTGATCTGTATCTTGCAGCTTGATGTAGTTTGCAGGTGGATTATGTGCATTTTAAGCACAGGGAAACGAGATTGAACGTTTGAAAAGGAAGATAAGGAAAGAAAAGGAAAAGAAAAGGAGCCTGATGAGATGATTTTATAAGTAAAATATAGTGAGCGTGTGACATTGACAGAAGGATTGGTGCAGCGTGTGCAGTGATGCGGTCGCTGTATCGGACTGCTGTGATGAAGAGGGAGCAGCGTCTGCAGTCAGAGCTGTATCTGACTGTTGTCTTTCAACTTGTCTGGGAGCGCCTCGGGATTCCCACGGATGAGCCGGACGAAGTGTTTGTGGATAAGAAAGTTGGGCATCTCAACACAGACTACTGCCTCTACACCCCGGCAAAATGGAATGGAATAGTCTCTGTGAAGATGTTTTCTATGTATACAAAAAAAAATAACTAATTTAAATTGGACCTAGAATTTGCAGCAAGGTATTAAAATAAATTTCCATTCAAATTTGATAATCAACTACAACCCTCGTATATGTTTTAGATAAATACAGTTAAGTAACACATAACATCACTACAAAACTTCAGGGGGAAAATGTTGTAGAAATGAAAAGTCTATTTGTTATTAAGTCATTGAGACAGGAGAGGGAGGATGGAGAGAAAGGCTGGCATTAGCATTCGGAGGACGACGCAGACACCGTGGCATCAGCCGTCAACATCAATTTAATGACATCATAGTTTGGTCTCCTGCTGTTGTTTTAATGTGGCCTCACAAAGTCTCCCGCCCCCAACCACTCACCCAAATACACCAAACACGAGGATTAGAGGCAACACACACGGCTTTTCACTGTCCGAGCAAAGGAAAACAAGGATTAAGAACCACTATTTTGTTTTTGTGTGATTCTGAAAGCGCTTATTCTACAAAATAGTTGGATATCCTCTTAAAGTTATTATTGATATAATGACTGACGTTTTTGGTTTAGGTCACTGAGAATTTGACCAGAGCCAACAGTGTATCACGATAACATCCATCCATGAAAACAAATAAGTGACTATTTTGACTTGGTTAGACTGTCACTGTTGACTTTAGATTTCAATGTTTTTTTAACTGTGGCTACAACCAGGAAGTAATAAACAAAACTAAACCACCAGCATAATAAACACAATTTTTTATTTTTTTCACTCAACTTGGAACCTTTGATTCATTCCCACAAGTGGCCGTTTGTACACGTGAAAGCTTGAACTTGTCCAATCTCAGAAGCTTTTGTTATATTAAGTTTGTTTTCTTTGGCACAACTGGGCGACGCCGCTCCTCCCACCGCTGTTATTCCTTTTTTTGTTTGGCATTTATAATAAAGAAATGCCAAACCTTTTGAGCGACTCTGTTTCAATGGTTGTTTCATAAATCCCCGTTACGACTAAACATCAAAGTCACAATTTACCCAACACCGAAACTTCAAAATAAAGTTACTGTTAATGATACTTCAGTTACTTAAGTTTTTCCGCTGGTTTGGAGAGAATTATTTTAATTAGGACAACCGATTTGCCAAGTATTTTTGATTACTGTGTCTCAAAAATGTGATAAAACACTTGTTGTTGAGTCCCCTCATGTTTTCGCTGCTCATGCTTCAAAAGTCTATGTAGAAAAGTTTCCTCTCAGCATTTGAACGTGGTCCAAACGATCTTGCGCTATCCTTGTAACTGTCATTTAAATACATGCAAAAAATCCTGCTGAAAACCTCGTAAAGCTGGAGGACGAGTCAGCAGCCTTGTGCTCAGCCAAGTCTTACACGTCCACGACTTTCCAAAGTGCCTGAAGTGAAACTGCTGTCCCTCACTGGCGTCCATTAGATCAGTGACCCCTGAAGTGTTCCTCCAAATGGTCCTCCTCCCTCCTCCTTGGCAGATTCTCTGTAAAACTGCAGCTTGTGACAGATTTAACTTTGAACTTGTCTTAAACCCGCGAGCTACAGGTGCCCAACAAGAGAATGCACTCACTCATCATACGGGAACATTATCCGCCTAAAGGCTTCTCCGGTTAGGCCTGTTTCAAGCATCTCCAGCGTCAGTGCATTAGCAACAAAGTAATGAAATAAATTATAGGGGGCGATAGCGAGTACGATTTCAATTTCTCAGTCCTTGCCTTATAGCCTGAATACTGGATCAATAGCCTGTTTGGATCCCTCTCTCATTTTGGGCCTTCCCGAGTTGTTGCACCTTTTTCCCACTGGGTTCTTGAGTCTTTCCTTCAGGAGGATCTAAGGACAGTGACGATCTGGGATATTTAAGGAAATGTATGGGCATTGGTCATCATCTATGCATCAACGACTCAATTATATTACTACTGATCGTGATACATATCACGTGTACGAACTGTTTGATTCTCTAACTATTTAAAGACAAACACGTTTTTTTTTCAGTATTTCTCATCAAAAAAGCAATTATGTTAGATCTAGTCTCGATCAAGATGTTCTCCAATGGCATCGCATTAGCTTTGTTTTCATCAAATGTATTCCAAAAAAATGTATTGGATGGATTTAAAGAACTAATTAACCAACCAAAGAATATACGACGACCTAATAGCTTATTCAAGTCCTTAATTACAGCCCTAATGTTCACTGTGAAATATACAACTTTAAACCAACACATTTGATATTTTTCCAAAACTACTCAGTGTGAACATGGCTCAGTGTGGAGCCGTGTAATTAATGCAAGTTATGGCTCTCATCAGGTCCATATGCTCAGCCGCCTGCTCCACACTCTCACAGCGAGGAGAAACAGTCCCTGGGCTTTTTACCTGTGAGGGTCTGCCCCAACGGTGGTAAATAAACTATAACACAAATCAAACAGTCCGTGTCTATTGCTTAAGTTTGTAAAGTCCTCCGCAGCAGAAGCAGCAGGTGAACTAGAGCCCAGAAACATATTGTCTCTTAAACTCTCCGTGGTACACTGAAAAACAAAACTAAAAACTACACAACCATTTATAACTTAATAAATGTTAGCCTCCCACAGTTTCCTTTTGAATGTACCACTTTACATACACACCCATGTCACTTTTGTCAAATTCGATTTCAGATTTGATCAGGGCTTTTCCCTTGGCTGGGGTAAATGTGGGACTGGGATTGTATCTTAACAAATGTTGCACCTCTTTTTCAATCTTAATCTATAGATGTCTAGAATATATTATACATCCATCCATCCATTTTCTTCCCCTTAATCCATTTCCGGGCCGGGGGGTGGCAGTCAGATCTGCACCCAGTACACAGAGCACCAGCCCCAATATATTATACATTTAATCCTGATTCAAGATTATGGCTGGGATGATAACACTAACTTGTACACCTCTACTAGAAACAAAAGAACTCTCTGGATGAAAAAGGTTGGAGACACCTGCTCTACAATATAATGGTATATTATGCTCATGCTTATGTGATTTTCTGTCGTTATCATATTGACTAGAATTGTACAATCACGAAAGGAGAAGCCCTTTCTGTTTTGTAAAAAGAAAAAAAAAGAAAAAAAAAAAACTCTCCAATTGAAAAAGGTAGGAGACATCTGATGTTCAGTGTTTGCCATAAAAGGCTTATGGCAAATGGTATGGTATAACCTTGAGTAATTGATTGTCAAACTTTTCTCCATACAACCTGCCAACTTATCCGTCTCATTGCAACAGCCAAAGTCATACACTTCCAGAGCCAGACAACAAAGACACTCTCCAAATTCCAAGTCACAAATCTCTGTCTATGATTTGACAAGAAGCCAACATAACTCCAGGCAGATAAGATCAACGTCACAAGCGGCTTCACGTCTCCCGGCACAAAAGCGTTGCCTTTGGGCGCTCATCACCCAGACACCATCAGCAGCAGCAGAGAAAATAAACGATAAAGTTTTAGCTGACTCACCTTGCCGAAGTCTCTGACGTCGAACAGGTCGAACGGGTCGAAGAGTTCACTGTTGCGGAGGCCGAACTTGTCGTGGCAGACCTTCAGAAATGTGCGGATGTTCTTCAGACAGAGAAACTGCAAAAGAAAGAGAGATTCAGTTAATGTGGACAATGCTTTGTGGCAATATAAGTGTCTGGCCTCTTCATCAAGCAAGCAGAAAAACATTATTCAATCGCTGTGCCCCAAAAAAGCCTCCCCAAAAAAAAAAAAAAACAACACATATACAGTAAATGACATGGACTGCTCATGGTTCATCTTTCCCATACAAAGTAATAGACTTTCACCCCTGCAGGAAAATTGAAAGAAAGGCAAAAAAAACTGTAAGATTGAGATTGGACAGCCTGTCGCTCCCACTGCAGGAAGAGTGGACGCAACTAAAGCCGGACTAAATGAGGTCTAAAGAGACAAAATCAAGTATTTCAGGACTACACTTTACTTGCCTCGATCAAGACCAGAGAGATCGGTCAAAATGCATTGCAATGTTCTTTCTACAATAAAGAACAAACCTTTCCTCTTTGCTTTCTACAATATTTTCCCACGGATCCTCGAAGAGCACCTGACTTCCCACGTTTACCCTGCATTACGTTATTTTGAACCCCATCTATACTCACTCCTCTTGTGTTTTTTGCTATTTCAGGACTACATTGATCCCCAGACCGGGACAAGCGTGGACACATGTACTGTTGTGCTTGAAATGTTACATTTTGAACATATTATGCACATTACGAATGACAACTTAACACTCATTGTCACTTATAGTTAGCGGTTGTGTCAAGCGGTTCATGCAAGGTGGTACTGGAATTTACTGGAATTTACAAATGCGCTTCCAAAATTTATTTTGGAAGCGCATTTGTTCTGTAATTTCTGTTGCATTTCCTTTACGCTGTAGTAGCTGGTGCTGTATCCAAGCAACCGACCCACAACAAACCAGTATCCACGGAAATTCTTTGATTTACCATGGCATCCAGGAGCACTCTGGCCAATCACCTGGGAGCTCGGCCTGGATAGAACCAGGGCTAAGCAGGTACTATAACAACTCTCCCAATCGCGGTAGAGAGGAGCCAAGTAGAGTAGAGTAGGGCCAAGCAGGGCTGATGGAAACAAGGCTAATGGGTGCTACTTGAGACAATATTGTTTTCCTAAATACACGTAGCTGCATTTACATCTCGCTCAAGACCACAAAAAGGTGATCCCTCTCATTCAAAGGCGACATGTCCCCAACCGCTGCCAGGGTCCTTGCACTATCCTGGGGTCAGTGGCCTCAGACCCGGACCCCTGCCCCCAGCCTGTCCACACATACCATTAACAAACATTTAACATCTCATTTATGCATCAAGGCTGTTCCATCTTATTCATGCGCTTATTTATATCCCGTTTATTCCGTAATAACTCATTTCAATGCAGCTTTGTATCTCGCAGTAAAGATAATTGTCCATTATAGCTGATTGCACAGAACCAATTTATATTGATTCACCGTGACCTTTACTTCTTAGAGGACGACGTTATATTTACTCAAGGTAATTTTCTGCGTTATTTGAGCTTATTATGTTGACATTTGCATTTTTATGTTCAAACCATGACTGTAATAAAACTCACTTGTTGTCGATTGGCCAATAATAGATCAGATAATCAAACAGTTCAAACAAAGGAAAAACAATCTAAATAGTCTAAATATTTACAGACCAGAGTCACAAAACACTTTACAATTGTTGTGGCCGTTTGCCTTCTCGCTCACTATTTTACATATGTTTAGTGGTAGGGGAAACCGGAGCACCTGGAGGAAACCTACGCAATAACCAACACATGAGCCGCGTTTCCACCACAGGAGTTCCTGGGAAAAGGAGCGGGATGGAACTTTTACAGGAACCTTGCTCTCCCTCGGTCCTCTCAGTGTCCGTGTCTCCACTGTAGTAAGACCACTCGGTGACGTCATGAGCTTTGATTGTTGTGGCGGTTGTGGTTTTTAAACTTTTCACGGCTTGTTTTGGAGTGTGATAAGTCCACAGTGCTTCGAGGTGAAGCTTATAGATCTAAATATAACTTTTAATTTCGCCGCAATGCCTCAAACCCCGTCTGAATCCATGCTGTGCTGTTGTTCGCTGCTTCCAGTGGTGTCTGCTAGGCTAATGCTGCTAGGCTAATGCTGCTAGACCAGTGTCTCCCAAAGTGGGGTCCGCGGCCCCCTGGTGGGCCGCGAGGGTACTGCAGGGGGGCCGCGGGAGGTCATTAAAAAAAAAATATAATTATTTAATGTTAAATTTATAATGTTTTGTTTGTAATATTAAAATATTTGTGTTCATTATTTGACTTGAATAATCCACTGTAATCATTTTTGTGTTACAATGTTTGTAGCAGAGGCTATTTCCCCAAAATAAAATAACCAGAAGAGCCTATTCTTAATGTTGTCTTCTTGGTTATTATTTTGGGGGGCCACGCAGACCCGTCAGATTTTTAAGGGGGCCTCGGTGTTACTGAGTTTGGGAATGGCTGTGCTAGACTAATGCTGCTAGGCTAATGCTGCTAGGCTAATGCTGCTAGACTAATGCTGCTGGGCTAATGCTGCAAGGCATTGCTGCTGAATGCCGGTGGTTTTGGTGCTTTCTGCTGGTGTCAAAGCCTGCGCTAGGTTTAGCCAATCAGCGCCGGGTTAACCTCAAGTCCCACCAGGGCCCAACGGAGTACATAGCATGGAGGAGGGACTCCGTTGGGCCCCGTCAAAGTTCCTGTAAATGGCCCTGTGGGTGAAGTTCCTGCAGTGGAGACACCCACCGACGGGGCTGGCCCTGGAAAATTATTAGGGAGAAAAATGACCATAAATGTCCATACATGTTAATTCACTTGCACCAATGTCCTGGGTCATCACTGTCCCACTAACATTTTAAAAAAGTGGAAGAAACACCAGGTTGGCTCATAATTCTTTCATTCTTTCTTTCATTCTTTCTCCCCTGCTCTTCTCCCTGTACACCAACCACTGCACCTCCAGCCACGACTCCGTGAAGCTGATCAAGTTCGCGGACGACACCACCCTCATTGGACTCATCTCCAACAACGATGAGTCCGCCTACAGGAGGGAGGTGGACCGGCTGGTGTCCTGGTGCAGTGGTAACAACCTGGAGCTGAACGCCCAGAAGACAGTGGAGATGATTGTGGACTTCAGGAAGAGCACTGTCCCCCCGCCCCCACCCTCCGTGATGGACTCCCCCATCACCTCTGTGGAGTCCTTCCGTTTCCTGGGCACCACCATCACCCAGGACCTCAAGTGGGAGCCGACCATCAGCTCCCTCATCAAGAAGGCCCAGCAGAGGATGTACTTCCTGCGGCAGCTCAGGAAAGCCAAGCTGCCTGCACAGATGTTGGTGCAGTTCTACACGGCCATCATCGAGTCCATCCTCACCTCCTCCATCACCGTGTGGTTCGCTGGAGCCACAGTCAGGGACAAACAGAGACTACAGCGCATTGTGCGCTCTGCAGAGGAAGTGATCGGCCGCAGCCTTCCATCGCTGCAGGACCTGTACGTCGCCCGAGCTCGAGGCCGGGCTGGTCGTATCACAGCCGACCCCTCTCACCCTGCACATGGACTATTCCAACCACTCCCCTCAGGCAGGAGGCTGCGGTCCATCAGGACTAGAACCTCCCGCCACAAGAACAGTTTCTTCCCCTCTGCTGTTGGACTCTTGAACACTTCTTAACCTGTCCCCCCCGCCCTTTATAAAGTCACTTTACTGCCCATCATACGTCACTTTACTTCACTGTACTGCTGTCACCTTACATTGTGTGCACCATGTGCACTTGTATATTGTAAATAGTAACTGTAACTCTATTTTAAATTTAAATTTATTCTTTAGAAGTGTTTTTTATTCTTATTTTTATTATCTCTTTTTGACTGTTGCACTGAGCCAAAGCAATTTCCAAGTCTGTGACCTCCCGTTACTTACGTTGGCAATAAAAATGATTCTGATTCTGATTCTGATTCTAATGAAAGAGGGATCCGCCCCTACAGACAGGCTGTAGAATCAGGAATATTTTCCGGGAGGGCTGATAAAAATTCAAACGCTATATTTGCTATCGGTGTCTTTGTGATTGCATCAATAACTCTGTGGAATTATTCAAATATCAATGATAATCAAACAAGGTCCCGGCACCCTACAGCCTTTTGAATGCAAATTTTCAGGGTGCTGAAAAATGCTCTTTTATGCAGATGTGAAGCAGGAAGTGGAGCCACAGAAAGTCCAAGGTGAGGGGTGAGGACTGGGGCGGAATACCTTCCCCTCATATTGTTATTCCCTCTTTCTGAATATCTTACAAATGAAATAATAGCTCACAATCTATGCCATGTGAACTGTGATCCGCTGCCATTTCTAATTTCCTGTGTCCAGCGTCTGCATTAATTGCTTTGTAGGATGTCTTTTCTAATCAAAGATCTGAAGGAATAATATTGTATGTGCGATTGTGAATGGGCACGAATTAGGGCGGTACCAAAAATGTCTATAACAACTTTTCTCATTCGCAATTATCGAAATATGCATTATTTACAACAGACACCAACCATAACACACGTAAAGCCAGGGTACCACATTGACCCCCATATTTTCACAATTGGGTGTCATGATGGCTGAGTGGTTAGCAATGTCACTTTTCAGCAAGAAAAAAATTCCAATCGCAGCAGGGCCCTTCTGAGTGGAATTTGCATGTTCTCCCTGTGTCTGCATAAATTGCCTCCAGGGCCTCTGGTTTCAACTACCACTAAAAAAGATGTGCAAATTAGAAAATTCTCCAGCCTGCTGCAGACAAATTTTCCTACAATTTGACGCAAATGTATTCATAAATATTAAACTTTGGCCCAACATTAATACTCTTGTAATAATAAAATGCATGCGGTCTTCAACTTACTAGAAAACAGGTTATCTATTGCATACTTTTAAGAAAGAGCCCAGTGAGTCACTATTTGACGTTTTTTTTGCTGAGAGCTGATTGGCCGAGCGAGGGTCAGCTGATCTGATGTGACAAAGGCCAAAATATACATGGATATGCAAACTGTAGTGATAAAAAAAAACTGTATTGAGATTTTTCATGGACATAGTTAAATTTGTATGGTTCGAAAATTTGGTTGCCCAGCTTTAAGTAATGTCATTAATGGATTCCACACACTAAGAGTCTCTCGGCAAAAATGAAAGTAAATCACCTCACTCAGCCTTTTAATCCTTGTCACTGCCAGATGAGATCACATTTCTATTCTTAAATCTTAATCCTTACATTTACTGCAAATATAATTGAATTTCTCATGGGCTGCAGCAAATCCTCGAATAACCTCAAAAACACCCATAACACTTGCGAGGAAAGAAAAGTGTATTTATATAGCTCAGTTCATACCCAAGACAACTGAAAGGGCTGAAATGTATATGATCCAAGAGTAAAAGAGTAAGAAAGAAATCTATATATTTTTATATAGCGCCTTTCACAGACCAAAGTCCCAAAGCGCGAGAGAGTAGAGTGAGGTTGCCAGACATGAGACCTCTGCCAGACCTATTGCATGTTTTTAGTGCTCGGGGAAACCGGAGCACCTGGAGGAAACCTAAGCAGACACGGGGATAACATGCAAACTCCACTCAGAGAAGTGAAGATCAAAGATACAATCATTCAGTTGCATGCACAGATACAGAACTGATTTCATCCAGGATTTGAACATAGATTAGAAGCCTGTCTCACATTTTCAGGGAGACAATTCATAATTTTAACTACAAAAATCTGCATTGCTTCCTCCCCGTGTTTAGGCTTGACTCTGGGCACCAGCAGGAGGCCAGTCCCTGTGCTCCTCAGAAATAAAAATATTCGTAAAAGTAATAAAATATGCAAAAACTTCCCAATTCCACTTGGAGCAGTATTTTGCTTGTATCATTACAGCATTGTGCGCTGTAGGAACTTCCATTGCGGACATTAAAGAAACAAAACACCCATAATCCTGCCATTACAACCACAAAAAGTATATATTACATCGAAAGTATATTCAAGGCCTCATCTGCATTCCTCGCCGGCTCTAATTACCTTTGCTGCTTTTGATAAACGCGTGGAAAGATCAGCTCCACTCCGGTGATTTGGCGAGGGGCGAGAAAGTCTATCTGATACAGTGCAGCCTGATATTTGCTGCTATTTCCACAGAGCCACACCTGCCTTTTTATTATTCAAGTCCACACACCTGATCAACCCCCGTGTCACAGCGACGGGGAGATGCAAACGCTGATAGAAATACAAAATAAAATATCACAGGCGCGTTACTAAGACAACACATGTATTCACGCCGTAGCT